TATATTGTGTGCGTACTTGTAGAACAACATCAGGTTATGCTCATAGTGCAATCGATTCTTTTTTATTTAGAATAGTCATAAATCTGTGCTGATTAGATCTCAGCTGAGTGTGGCAAATGTTCAATCAACTTTCTACATTACTAGTGATGGCATGATATCCGACTATCGATCAAAGGACATTTGTGCCGTACAGCAGTTCGCTCTGTTTGCCCTTATGGCTATGAGATGTGGTTATTGAAAGTCGAAGATATTTGCGTTCTGCCAGCCGTGTGAAATGGTATAATAGGGTGAGTTATTTTGAGGCTAGGCGTAGAGTGTTAAATAAGGCAGGGAAGTCAATCGAATGAGGTTAAGAGAGAAGCTACATAGATTAAAATGGTCAGGATACGTGTTACGCAAGCAGAGTCCCCTCGCCTTCCTCGTCCAGCAATGTCAACAGACATGGAGTTAAATGAGTCGGTCAAACCGAAAATCTTTCATCAGTCGACAAAGACTTTGCTTCGTGGTTTTAATGCAGTCATGTAGAGAGAGGTGTAGATTGTCTTGTTAGGGTTGTCGGGACGTTGAAAAACCCAATAACTTTGAGATTTGTTGTTGTTAATATGGCTCAAAACCCTTCTCAATGAGACAGTTCCATTGACTCTTTGAAATCGCCTGGATTCATTAAATCCTTATTGTTTATTCCGTTGATTTCTTTTCTTTTTTGTGCTACATGGGTAGTATAACAAATTTGAATTGGTAAACCTCTCTACAAAATTTTACTTTGGAACTCAGTCAGTCAAATAGCATTATTATATTATATTATAATTGTATCCTTTATTCCCTACAGGAACATAGGGTTTCAGCCGTGCGTCTCCATTGCGTTCTGTTCTCTGCTAGAGTCTTCACCTGGCTCCAAGTCTGCCCACAAGTTTCCATCTCCTCTTCACATCACCTCCTCCAAGTCACCCTCGGACTGACGACCAACTCTCCGCTTCCCTTTCGGGTTCCACTCGAGCAATGGCTTGTCTAGTGATGTCACTTGATGGTTTGTTTCCTCAGAGTATGGCCAATCCACCTCCATTTCTTCCTGCTTATTTGTTGCACAGTCGGTTCCTGGTTGGTTCGTTCCCAAAGATCTCTGTTGCTGATCTTTTCTCGCCGGCCATCTGATCTTGAGTATTGAGCGAAGGCAACTGTTAATGAAGGTCTGTAGTTTGTTTGAGATGCTCTTTATGACGCGCAGTGCAAGTCTCTGATCCGTATAGTAATTAGCACTGATTTCACATTGGAGTTGAAAATCCGGATATTACTTCTGATGCTGAGTGTTGTTGACCTCCAAACAGACTTGAGAGTAGTGAAAACTTGTCTTGCTTTTCCGATTCTTGCTTTGATATCCTCATCAGTTCCGCCTGTAGTGGAAACGATGCTTCCCGGGTAGGTAAAAGAAGTTGTTTCTTTCAGGTTCCTCCCATTTATGCTGAATGTTGTCTGTTGTTGTTGCTGCTGTTGGTGGTGTTGCCCAGGAATCTTCATCACCTCTGTTTTATCTATGTTCACCTGAAGTCCTATCTTTGATGCTTCTTCTGCTAACTTGTTGCTTTTCGCTTGCATATCATCCAGTTTGTGGCAAATCAGACATATCTCATCATCGGCGAAGTCCAGATCCTCCAAGTTTTTTGTGTGTTTCCATTTGTCAATCCATGTCAAGTAGCATTAGTGGAAAGAAATTTTTCCGTATCTCACTTATATGATAGTATATACAAAATGTTGTCAGACGAACACTGATAGTGTGTTTAGGCGATTGTATGTATGAATGTATGTATGGATGAAAAATTTCGACCGGAACAGGCTGGATTCAGGAGAAACAAGTCATGTATTGATCAAATCGCCACATTACGGATCATCATTGAACAAAGCTTAGAATGGCAGTCACCTCTCTATCTCAACTTCATCGACTTTGAAAAGGCGTTCGACAGCGTCGATTGATACTTCGCTACCATCATTCACTTGGTGGTGCAGGCACATCCATCTGACAATTATCCAACAAAAATGAGACATACATCTTGGATTCCTCAGTTTTAGCCGCTATCCTCACCGAATAAGAATGTATAGATTTTTTTGTTTCCAAGAGTTTGCTTTGTATGGATTAGATTTGTTTATACAAGTTTGATGACGGATTGATATCAGTTAGAGAACCATTGAAAACCAGTACTGGAGTACTGGACAGCTGTTTCATCCTAGTTTGGGAATCATTGGCAGTACACACCCACTGGGCTCCGAACCCAGTTCTCTAACTGATATCAATTCGTGGTTAAACTCGTATAAATAAATGTAATCCTTACAAACCACAATCTTGAAAATTAATCTGATGCTCGCTAATGACTTGCTGCAGGACAACGTTTCCTGGAGTTCTAGTGAGAAGTCGTGACCAGTGAGGTCCATCCAATCGGGAGTGAGGATGGAGTTCCCACCGATGACATTGGTTGCAGGTTGCGCTAAAATCACGAATTGGTAGAAGTTAGAATTCATGCACCGGCTATTGATTTGGGTCCCAGTGGCTGAATGGTATACGAGCTGGCTGGCCTTGTAACCAGAAGGTCCTGGTTTCTAACCCCCAGTGGACGCGTACTGCCTATGATTCCCGAACTAGGATAAAACAGCTATCCAGCACTCCCTGCTGGTTTTCAATAGTTCTCTAACTGATATGAATCTGTGGTCAAACTTGTAGAAACATTCTTTTGTGTGTTAAATAATAAATAATCTTTGTTTTAATATATGATGATCAAGTTATAAGGCACTGATTTCAAACTAGTCCCCTTCTCTTCGATTGTCAAATTCCCATAAAATAAAAACAGGCATAGTTCAACTGTTTTCTCTACAATTCAGGTTATTTTTTTATCAGCGGGCTTTTTGTATTAAAAACAACAAACAAAACAGAACAGAAATTATCATGTAGTCTACCTACCTCTAGTAGCATCTCATTATTAAAAAGATATGCGTGTTATCTATATCTCAGTTGAAAAAATTTTTAACTCCTGTGACCTCTAATATAAAGATGCTTAAGAGAATTGGCACTGTAGAGTATATATATATATATCGTTATCTTCTAACGGTTTGCTCTAATTCTATCCTGATCATACGATATTGATCTTCTTTTGACGGTGTTTATTGTGGTTTTGCGACCTGTTGTCGCCTAATTGAATTGTGGTGTAGACACACTCTATTATTTCTTTTCTTGAAAATCATTCATTATAATAATAATAATAATTATTTTTTGTATCACACTACATATTTATGTAATAATTAATATCTATAGCGCACTTGTTTTCTTCTGTTACACAAAAATGAAACGCCCACTGCATTCAGTTGGCTGCTCTAGAACTTTCCAATCATATGATCAATACACAAGGTCAAAATGATTTATCCAACGGTGGTGGTGGTGGTATGCTGAAGAAGAATTCCTCGTTCAGTTATCTTGGCAGTGCTGAACAAAGTCATACACATCCACATCGAGATAAACCTCATGGACATCATCATGGGCATAGTCATGATTTAAGCTCTGTACGTGCTATTGCTTATACTATAATTGCTGGCGATGGATTACACAATTTCTGTGATGGTATAGCTATTGGTGCAGCGTTCGCAAATGATATTCGTGGGGGGCTGTCAACATCGATAGCGGTATTGTGTCATGAGTTACCGCATGAATTAGGTAAGCTGAAATGGATGTTGTGAGAACACACTAGTTGGTTGTTTATTATTATAATTATTATCTTTCAAATCTCGGTACCAATCCTACAAGAATTAATTTGATTATCATTCACTCCTGCCGTGTGTAACGAAACACAGAGGTCTGTAACAGTAGATTTCCGTTAAAATTGGTTATTGTCTTCTGTTATTTCCACGACTGCTCACAAGCTTTCATTTTGTTATTCAAGTGTTGTTTTGTAGGGATTTGATCGGTTACAGGATTTCATCATCAGCGGACATTAGTCAGAGAACCATTGGAAAACCTGCGGGGAGTACTGGACAACTGTTTCGTCCTAGTTTGGGACTCTTCATCAGTATGCACCCACCGCTCACTAGCGACTTGCCCTATTCAGGTAGGTAGTTACCTGGAGTTCTAGTGAGAAGTCGTGACCAGTAGGGTGCAGCAGGTTTGGCGTGAGGACAAATACTCACCGAAAACATTGGCTAAGGGTCGCGTTATGTCGTGAATTGGCAGAAGTTAGAATTCATGGACCATTGGATCGGGTCCCAGTGGCTTAATGGTATACGGGCTCACCTTGTAACCAGAAGGTCCTGGGTTCGAACCCAGTTGTGGTGGGTGCGTACTTCTGAAGAGTCCCAAACTAGGACGAAACAGCTGCCCAGCACTCCCAGGTTTTCCAATGGTTCTCTAACTAATGTCAGCTCATGCCATTTTGTTGTTTCACTTCACGTGATCTCCACCTTATCTTAGATCGTCTGACTTTTGGCTTCTTATATACATTCCAATCAAGAGCCTGGCGTGTGTTAACATCTACAGACGCCTTATCAGGTAATTTTTGCATATCTGTTAGGTAGGTTGGTTCGCTTACAGCGCGCTGTTTGCAGCTTATCGCCTCTGGCCTTCTATCTGATTTCGAGAACTGAGCGAAGTGAGATGTTGGTTAAAGTCGTCAACCAATGCTTCTGGCGATGCACAAACTTAACAAAGCATATAGGACCCATTATTTAACGGAAATGTTAACTTTGCATGCTAGACAGTAGGAGTAATAGCGACTGAAATCTTTGTTGGATATTCCCTCGGCTCTAAATTACTGGGATATTTGCAAAGAGTTAGATTTCATTATGACCCTTACTTATGTGCTTGTCTCGTAGCCTGGTAGTCCTTATTATGATGAACTAGTCCAAATATAAGCAGTTCAGATGTATTCCTATTGTATTAGTCGGTGAACGAGATCTCTGTTCACATGAGTAACTAACTAACTTCCGTGAATAAAAGTACGTAATGTTTAAGGCATGTATTTAATTTTTTTTTAATTGTTTCAGGTGGTCTTTTTCAGGGTATACAAAATATAACAATGTGTGTTATCGAACCCTAACAACTGTGTTATCTTATACTAAAACATTGTGTACATAACTCTAATATAATTTTAACAGTTCAATAGACCAATCAGGAAGACGTGTATTTTTCCTGTATGAAATAAACAAAATATGCATTACTATCTAAGTAGATGCATATGAAATAATCGTTGTCAAATAATAACAGGCGACTAAAGAGATTATGTAACTTACAAGTATTGGTTTTGTAGGGATTTTGTTTGATTGGTTGGAGGATTTCATCATCACTAGCGACTGGCCCTGTTTAGCCAGTTAACTTGGGGTCCTAGTGGGAAGCTGTGACCAGTAGGCTATAGCAGGTTGACGATGAGGCAGTAACTCATCAATGAAGACATTGCGAAATGGTCACGCAATGTCGTGAATTGGCAGAAATTAGAATTCAACGAACATTGGATCGGGTCCCAGTGGCTCAATGGTCTACGAGCTCGCCTTGTAACCGGAAGGTCCTGGGTGCGTACCGATGAAGAGTCCCAAACTAGGACGAAACAGCTGTTCAATACTCCCAGGTTTTCCAGTGGTTCTCTAATTGATGTCAGCTCATGATGAAATCCTCCATGCAATCAAACAAAATCCCTACAAAACCAATACTTGAATATTTTATAGGTCTTGTTACTCTCTGCATATGATAAAACTATATTTTATTCCATAAAATGATTATTTTTATAATCTCTTTGCGCTCCGAGTTGAACATAGGGCTTCAATAACACATCCCCACTTTGTTCTGTTTTCTGCCGTTCTCTTCAGCTGGGTCAACGATTGACCAAACTCTCTCATCTCTTCCTCACATGATCTCCTCCATGTCACCCTAGGATGAACCACTTGTCTCTTTCCATTTGGATTCCACTCGAGCAATAGCATGGCGTGCGATGTCATTCGGTGGCCTCCTCAATGTATGCCGGATGCATCTCTACTTTCTCCAACATATTTGTTGAGCAGTCGGCTCTTGGTTGGTTCGTTCCACTGCAGAGTTTCTTGTTGCTAATTATTTCTGACTGGCTATTTGATCTTCAGTATGAAGCCAGCCAGCGAAGGCAGCAGTTGATGAAAATCTGCAACCTGTTGGAAATCCTTTTCGTGACACGAGCTCAGTGCAAGTTTCTGACTCGTACAGAAGCACTGACCGACTTGACATTTGTATTGAAAATGCGAATCTTGTTCCTTATGCTAAGTGCAGTGCAGAAAATTTCCAAATTGGTTTCAGGTTGATGAAGGCGTATGTTGCCTTTCTGATTCTGGCCGGCTGGTTTTGATATCTTCATCCGTTCTGCCAACCTGTAGTTGAAATGATGCCTTCTAGATACGTGAAGGGAGGAAGTGACCTCTGGTTGGTTGCCTTCATCACCTCCGTCTTCTCTATGTTCACCTGGAGTCCTGTTTTTGCTGCTTGCCTCTTCAACCAGTCTGTTGGTTTTCGACTGCAAGTCTTCGAGTTTGTGTAACATTAGACATATACCATCTGCGAAATTCAGATCTTCTGGAGTCTTCTTATCGGTCTTCCAGCGTATTCCTGACTCCTCGTCCCCAACAGTGTGACGTATAATCCAGTCCACCACAATTAAGAATGTAATCAGTGATAACAGGCAGCCAGATTGTCTTACTCCTGTTTACACTTTGAACGCCTCGTTGAGTTTTCCGTTGTGGATCACTTGACACGTGGCATTGTCATATAGCCAGCTGTTGAACGAGGTTGACAAAGACTTGAGCACCATACGCCGTAGTGTCGAAGTAGTTTCTAAATTATTTATCGGTCAACGCTGTCTGTCGGAGGCCTTTTCGAAGTCGATGAAGGAAGTTGAGGTGGAGTTTCCACTGCCATTCTATGCTTTCTTTTCTAATGAGGATGCGTAGAGTTGCCATTTGATCAGCACATGATTTGCCTTTCCTGAATCCAGCTTGTTCCGGACTGGCGGAGTTCTGTATCCAGTGCATCTTTTATTCTCTCTAGGATGATGCAACGTAGTATTTTACTTGTCGTGGACAGGAGCAGTATTCCACGTCAGTTCCTTGCACAGGCCTAAGTCGCCCTTCTTCTGCAGTTTGACGAGGTAGCCAAGCCTTCTTCCAATTAGTAGGCACCTTCCCTTCTTTCCAATCTTTGTGCAGTAATGGAGTGAGAATATCTGCCGTAATCTCTGGGGCCGTCTTCAGTGCTTCGTGAGGAATGCCATCTGGTCCTGCTGCCTTCCCGGATTCCCTTCAGTAGGTTGATCGCATTCAGGATTTCTTCTTCCGTTGGAGGAGTGGTGTCCACCGGCAGGCAATTCTGTGCGTGTTGTTGGTGGTATTTCTGGCTGAGTTGTCCGTGGTGGTTGAGTCCCTTGAAGTGACTAGCCCATTCATTGTTTGATTTGTTTGTCCTCCGTGGTGATCAGGTTCCCTTGAGCATCTTTTATTGGTTTCATCCTCTGGCTTGATCTCTTCCCGGATATCTAATGATTTGGTTATCGGATACTGTGTCTTGATGCCTCTTTTGGCTGCGGTCTATTCTGCTTCAGTTGCCGGCCAGTGTGTCGTAGAATTGTCGTTTATCTTTCCTAGCACTCTTCTTCACTTCTTTATTCAGTGCAGTGTACATTAAACTCAGCTTCTCCTTCCGTTGTCCACCCTTGCATTGAGTAATCTCTTTCACCATCCTCCTCTCCTCGATTAGCTTCCAGGCGTCCATTGACAGCCCTTGCTTGCTTGTCTCTTCCTTCTTCCTAAAACAGTTGTACAAGTTTCCCTAAATATCGCTTTCAGAGAGTTCCAATCTTCTTCCATTAAAGTTTCCTCAGTGATGCCGAGTAGTGTGTCTGACTTTTCTCTGATCTGATCTGTAGTGAAGGTATCCCTTGTAGTTTGTCCTTCACTTTCTGAATGTTGAACTTTGATTGTGGTCTGTCTCCATTTGATTTCATCAATTTCAGCTTCACCTTGAACTAGATGATGGCCTGAGCCCACATCTGCTCCCCTTCTCAACTTTGTATCCAGCAGGCTACGTCTCCACTTCCTTGAGCAGCATTGAGATGAAGTCTATTTGGTTTGTGGTATATCCATCAGGCGAAATCCGTGTTGCTTTGTGTTTGTACATGCTCCCTCCGATCACCGAATCGTTGAAAGAGTAGAAGTCTGGAAATAATTCTCCGTTCTCATTCATTTCTGCGAGCCAGAGCCTCTCGACCCATGATGAGTTCTCTTCCTGTATTATGTGCTCCCAGGTCAGCTGGCATTCATATCGCCCATAAGGATTTTGATGTCACCATTTGGGATGTTGTCTACTACTGCTTTTAGTTATCTATAAAAGTCATCCTTCTTTTCGTGTTCCGCGTTGTTTGTAGCACTGTGAGTAGCTTTGGATAACTGTTACCTTCCTTCCTTTTGAGTTGAATTTTAATGTCATGATCCTGCAGGACGAAATTCGTTCCCACCGCATTAGGGCTTTGACCGCCTCTGGTGATAGACATCATGATAGCCACTCACTCCTGCCTCAGTGTGTTAGTGGTTGTCATCTAGGTGACCGGAGTAGATTATTGACTCTCCCGTTGAAAATGCTATCACTCCACATCCATTCCATCAGCTTTCTCAGATACCCAGTACTTCTAAGCCATATCTTCGCATCTCTTTGGCTATCTGTGCAGCCTTCCTAGTCTTGTACATTGTACGGACATTCCAAGTACGCATTCTTACTCTTGCTTTTATTGAGAGAAGACATATCGGCTGGCTGGCTGACTGGCTTCCTGAAGGCTGGCTTTCACCAGCCCGCTGTGTCATTTTGCCTCTCCAATTCGAGGGAAGAATAAGATTTTTATTTGAATTTTTTGTATTTTTAATATATTTTCTATGTGTTGAAGTTTCTCTAGAGATTTGAAAGATTTAGTGGTGTTGGGTTGCTAGCCCCACTCCCCATTCTCCCTCTTTATCTGGGCTTAGGACCGACTAGAAAACACACTCATCAACCTGAAACCAATCTGGAAATCTTCGTCACTCAACATCAACAACAAAATTCGGATTTTCAATACAAACGTCAAGTCAGTCACTTCTTCTATACGAATGGATCAGAAACTTGGCCAGTGTGTCACAAAGAATATTTCCAACAGCCTATTGCAGACCTTTATCAACCACTGTCTTCGCTCTATACTGAAGATCAGATGGCCGGAAAGAACAAGAACCAACAAGAAACTATGGGACCAAACGAAACAAGAACCAATCACCCAACAAATATGCAGGAGAAAGTGGAGATGGATTGGACACTCCCTGAGGAGGTCACTGGGTGACCGCGCGTCATTCCAGTGCTCGAGTGGAACGCGGAAGGGAAGCGGCGAGTGGGTCGTCGATGGGTGACATGGAGGAGATTGTGTGAAGAGGAGCTGAAACAGTATGGATTAACCTGGATGCAGGTGAAAAGTACAGCAGAAGACAGAAGAAGCAAGTGGAGACGTGCTGTTGAAGCCCTATGTTCCACTAGGAACCCAAGGGAACAATAATAATAATAATAGAAAACTACCGAGCTGGTTAACTAGGCGAGGTTATTCCAGAAAATGCTTGCTGCAAAAAGTGAATATAACTCTGGTAAATCGATGAGTTCTGTCTGTACTATTATACATATTTGGGATGTCTGAAACAACAACATTCGCACATTCGTCTTTTTGAGAACGAACTATACCACAAACCCCATATCTGAGTAAATTAGGACAAAGATGTTTGCAGGCTTTTGGCGGTATATCATCGGTATGCTGCTGTGTTTCTATGCAATTCGAAATTCAACGTATCTGAGCATAAATGTACACAGTAGTGTGTAATGTGTAAAATGTGTTGCAGGTTCTGTCCAACTAAATTTAACAGTTCTAAAAATATAGCAAAATTATTCATTCAGACATCTATAAAACATAAAATAATCGAGCAAAGAATATTCTTTTCGATAAATTCCTCTTTCAGGCTCTACAATTATACATACAACTTTATATACATAGAATATTCTAGGATAGTAGTCAATAACAATATTATTGTTTTTTAAATAATGTCGATTTGTTAGGCAAGATCACAGTTTAATTGCATTTCATTAAAGATGATTAAATTATAATAATAATAAAAAAGATATAGTAGCGAATAGAATATCAACTAAAATTAGGAAATTTCCACAAAAATTCAGAATCATTCAAACCTAGATGGCCAGCGAGGTAAGAATAATGTCTGAACGAACTTCTTTTGGGTGCATAAATTAGGCTTGTTAATATGGATACCCACAGCCTCAGCAATATTTAGAAGTCGAATTTTTAAGGCGAAATTGAGATTCGTAGGTATGCGGTAAATGACCCTGAAAGCATGATTAACGTCAATCTTGTGTTCTGTCTCCACAAGATGAGCCAGAATAGCGCTGCGAATAGATTTTGTCTGTCCTTTGCTTAACCAGGTAGGGTGATGTTCGGAAATTTGACGAGAAACATGCCTAATTGTACGGCCTATGTAACTGGCTCCACAGGAGCAGTTAAATTGGTAGATATACATGGAAGAGGCGAAATTAGGCAGTTTGTCTTTTATTCCCGGACGCAGAAGAGGAGTGGTTTTAAAGATACAGCGTAATTGCGCAGCAGGGAATGCTCTTTTTACCGCATTTCTAAGGCGATGTGTTAGTATTTCACTTGTGTTGTCTCCTAGGAACTGCATCTGTAAGAATGAGGCCTTTTTTGGAACTGTTGGTAACTTGGACTGTTTTGGTTTTAGATTCATATTCTTATCAATAAACTTTTCGGGATAACCATTCTCACTTAGCAACCGTTTAATATTGTTAAGCTCCTCGTCAAGACATTCATCCGAGCAAATCTCTCTTGCTCTGTGGACCAAGCACTTTATTAGATTGCGTTTGTATTTCAACGGCACAAAGCTGAGAAAATATGTGTACTGGCCCGTTGATGTAGGTTTTCTATAAACACTTCTTCTTGTGGTGCCGTCCTCTTTTCTGGTCATAAGGACGTCTAAAAATGAAATACTAGAGTGTTTTTCTTTCTCAGTAGTAAAATTTATTGCAGGATGTACGTCATTAAATTTATCCAGGATGTTCTTTGCTTCCTTTTCGTTCTTCATAGTCAAAAGAGTATCATCCATGTATCGACAATAAAATTCGAGTTCATTAATAACATCTTTCAAAGGCCCATTTTGTAGTTTCACCAGGAAAATGTCGGTTAGAATGGGTCCTAGTGGCGACCCCATTGCCACACCGTCTAAAAATGTACTCAGATGTTCAAATCGGAGATATTTTCATAATTTGTATTCTATTACATAACAGAGTTCCTAATTTGTTTGCTGCTTATTCAAGCAGGATGATGTTTCTTCATCTATCCTCTTCTTACTTTCTTTCTTTCTCTCTGTCTTTTTTATTTGTCTAGGCGATTTCGCTGTTCTGTTACACGCTGGAATGTCTGTAAAATCTGCCCTTTTCTACAATCTGTTATCAAGTGTATTATGCGCTGGTGGAATGATTCTGGGCTTTCTACTCGGTGGATTACATTCACTCGACACATGGATATTTATGTTAGCTGCAGGAATGTTTGTTTATATTGCACTAGTTGATATGGTAGGTAGTCAAAGTGTTGATGATGGGATATATGTATAAAGTTGTTAATTGTATTAATATTTATCGAATTTTTTGTTGTTGTTAGTATGTTAACTAAAAGTTACCGTTTGATGGATGGATTGATTCATTGAAATTTTATAATGCTGTCGTCACTATTACAGCTACCAATTGGGTCATGGATTCGGTCGGTCGGTTTTCGACATAGAACTTTGCACATATGTGCGGCAGTTCAAGTCGCCACACTCCCTTCTTACAGCACACAAACCAAGAGAAGAAAGTAAGAGAAATGCATAACAGAGACAGTAAACAGAGGTGTGAGACAAAGGAATAGTAATAACGAAGAACAAAACAGTTTCATTGGAAATCATAAGTCACAAGGAGTGGATGCATCTGCGCCAGCCATTGAGAACGAGGATTTTGAGCCATGTCATCAATTGTTTCCAGTCATTGGTTTTTACCGTCCTGAGGAGCCCAACCAGACAGAAGTCTTCACCATCCTACGTGGCCTAGACTAACTGTTGTGGATTTCATTGACTGGTGAATCGATGTTTTGGTTTGACCGCCGCTAGCTCTTTTCCAGCCTTACCCTATATCAGCTAACATTGCCCGTCGAGGAAGGCGATGACTAGGCATGAATGCGTAACACATGTCCTAACCATCTCAGTCGATGTAATTTCATAGTCTCGTCGATTGATTTCCTCACCTTACCTAGCACTCGACGCTTAACCTCAATATTGCTCACCTTATTATACCACTTCACGCGGGAGATAGAACGCAGACACCTTTGATCAAAGACAGCTAATCTTTTCATGTCTTCTGCTCTCAATGGCCATGTCTCACAGTCATAAAGGAGGACGGAGCGGACTGTTGAGCAGGCCCTTTGGTCGACAGTCGGATATCACGTAAACTGCCATATGCGAAACTAGCCCTCTATATTCGTGCTGAGATTTCGTCAGAGATCAACCCGTTGGCACTGGCTGATGGTACTTCCCAAATAAGTGAAGCGGTCAACGTGCTCTACCACTTCACTTCCTATTTCTAATCTAGGGGTCGATGAAGTCCAATCCTGCAGCATCATCTTACACTTTACAGGGGCGAATCGCATGCAAAACATACGAAGATTGTTGCTCAAGGTGTTCAGTAGACACTGCATTTTGTCAGCATCCTCGCCTAGAAGGACTATATCGTCCGCATTAGAGTTACGCTTCACCTATCACAGCCTGACTTCAGCCGAGTTAACGATGGCAATGTAGCTCTTAGCCTGATAGATGAAATATCTCCCCAGAGATGTGTCATATATACTGGTAAATATCCACATCGCAAAGATCCTGTATCTCTCAATAGTTTTAGAAGACTAAACCTAATACTATGCGCGGTAATCGACGCGGAACAACAGAAAACGGTAGGCACTACGACTATTTATTGTTGCGTCGATAACGTAACAGAATTACAATTATTATTAGTAAGTGCGAAGTCTGTAAATAAACGTTAATAGAATGTACAATTAAACTTCTGGTCTTATTTCTCTAGTCTTTTGCCAACCAGTATTACGATTGAGCAATGATAGCCTTCTTGTTTCCCGCCAAATAGAGACTAGTTCGAATAAACAAAGGATTCAATGTTCAATATTATTGACATGTATGCATACTAGTCATCTTATTAGTTTTGGTGAATTTCACATCCTGATCAACGACGTATCACTTATTTAACTTATTGATGATGAATATGTATTGTAGAAAGGTAAAGTTTCTGGTGTTGTAGTGTTCACCAAGTTGGGCGGTCTATTTCGCACGGTGGATGGTGATCAAGAAAGTTTTGTGTACTTTTGCCCACATTGCAAAAGTTGATTTCATTTTGGAGTACGTGAGACAGAAGGAGTATGGCTGCAAAATCCAATGGACAACTGCTTGAGACCGGTCAAACACGGCCTGTTTGAAGTGGTTTTCAGAGTTGTCTTCGTATCTGGATCTTACTGTCAGCTATACGAGTCACTTCAGTGTTAGTCGGGATGTACAGTTTTTGCAATCGACGTTTTCTAAACCCCTTCCCCCGAGCGGAGAAGCAATATAGCAAGATCGCTGTCTCCTGTTGCACATCCCTATTCGCCAACAGTACATCTTTGCTGACAGACCTCCAGCATACTGTGAACTAATTATACACTATGATAGTAGCTCCTTATAGTCTAATCGCTATCAAAAAGACCTTTCTGGTGTGATATGACTTGCATGAACATTCATTCTAGTCAGCTGTAACTTGTGGGGGGTCATTGAGAAATGGAAACCTGACCACCACATCAAGGTGCCAGCTATCGGTTGAGGTTTAATTGTGTAGCATTTGAACGACATCTTCAGCGCCTGTTTTTTTTTCCTTCACGTTCCCCAGTGGAACATAGGGCTTCAAGCTAGTGGCTTGAAGTTTCTGTAACAGTGGTGTTTGTTTTACAGGATGGGGTTGCTAGCCTCATGCCCAACCTTTCCTCTTTACCAGCGTTATTTCTGGGTTAGCGAGGTAAAGGAGTGCGTCGGCCGGGGATGGAACCCCGGACCACGTGCATGGTCGGCGAGCGTCTTAACCACTATGCCACCGACGCAAGCTCTGATGTTGTTATCGAGATGCTTCTCAGTTAAAACGCCAAGCTCAGAGAACACAACCACATCATAAACAATGGCTTCCTGCCGATTGCCTCCAACCATCTCATATCATCACAAACAATGTACACCGTGATGGCGAGCTACCTAGAATGGTGGCCACATTACAACCTGACTGATAGAATTCAGTTTGCACCAAAGAGAGGACACTAGACACGTCACACTAGTTACTAGTGTCAAATCAAAATATCCACTACAGTCCTACAGGAGGTCAATCGCGAACCCGAATAGCTCAGTGGTAACGTCTCTGACTGCAGCACTGGGTGACGCGGGTTCGAATTTCAGAAGGGACATGAGTTCCATCAAGCTGGTTGCAAATACGTCTTGCTGTGACTGGTGAGTTCCAACTAGCACGAAACCTAGGTTGGCCAAGGCTTCCTGTGACCGATTGCCTCCAACCATCTCATATCATCACAAATGTCTAACTGAGTTACAAATCTTCTGCATTATTTCAAAAACACAAAGTTTATCAAACCTTATTCTTGTTATGCATAAAGTGTGTCCGTATGGTGTTTGCAACAAACTACTAGTCTATGATCACTGAGTTAGATAAACACGTATCAAGGTGATTTACACATGAAGATTGAACAGAAATGGCTTGAAGGCTGTTGTCATAAGCGTCCAGTCGTATAAGTAAGTGATGTGTATTGTGATGAGTTAATAGCATGACACAAAGTTGCTTAAGGATTATTCCTAAAAGTTCCTCAGGAAACATTTTTTGTTTTATCAAGTATATAAACACCGAAACACAACACACCTCACAGTGGGATATTGATAGTGGTTACCTACTACTCTGACTGTCCAAATAACTCCTCCTGCATAGTAATGCTGCGTGACTTTCATCTAACCGGAGAGAATACATTGAAATATGTTGAGCGGTGAAGTTGGATGCTAGTCCCACTCGACATATGACTGAGTGATGGTCTGACTGATTGACTCTCAGTCTAACTACATTCAGTATTCGTGATGAGAAGGAGTTGGAGAGATTGAGAGATAAGCGTCGATAAATAGATGGTGGAAGAGAAGTCGTTGCGGAGTGAATCCTTAGTTGGTCGAGTTTCACTCATCATCTTCACATGTTGAGCGGATCAATCGATGATACAGAGACCAGCACTCCAACCGACTGTTGCCATTTTCATTGTTACAGTGACGCTTCATCTCTTTTGTATCTTCAGCATTTTCGTCATCGATCGATACTACTGCTCATGATACCTATCATCATACGAATCATAGACCCACATATAGGTGACCCAACCGTACACACATTGTGGTACCCAAAATGTTGAGTACACCAGGGGATAAATGTACAAGTGACTCTGTTTCAGTCTGACTTTCTAATTATGTGAATAATCGTGTGCAATAAGAGATGGAATAAATGTGTTTGAGTTGGTTTATGTTATTTTTGATTATAGTTTACACCCTTAGATACTAATTGGGAAGATAGATGGATTTCGATAGGAAATTCACCGTTGTCTAAGTTCATCACTGTTTTGGTATGTGATCTGGCAATACATCAATTGAATTTGTAATTAACCTGTAAAATTATTCACTAGTTTTTAGTTCTGTCGCCTAGACGTTTTCATCACTCGACTGCCGGTATTCACGAGTCATTGTCATCACCGGTCATTGACTGTGGAGGACATGAAAAGGTCAGCTAGCTGTCTCTGATCACAGGTGCCTGCGTTCTATCTCCCGTGTGAAGTGGTTTAGTAGGGTGAACAATACTGAGGTTAGGCTACGGTCGAGTGCTAGGTAAGGAGGGGAAATCAATTGACGAGGCTGTGAAGTTACACGGACTGAGAGAGATTGTTAGGACGAGTGTTACATATGCCTAGCCATCGCCTTCCTCGATGGGCAATGTTAGCTAACTGGCATAGGATGGAGCTTGGAAAAGAGCTAGCGGTGGTCAAACCAAACCATGGCTTCCCCAGTCAATGAAATCCACACCAGTTAGTTTAATCCAGCCAGCCAGCCAAGTAAGAAGGTTTAGACTTCTGTCTGGTTGGGGTCCTCGGGACGATAAAAAACAATGGCTAGAAACAATCGGTGACATGGTTCAAAATCGTTCTCAATGGCTGGTGCAGATGAATCCACTCCTTGTGACCTATAATTTCCAATTAAACTTTATTGTTTTTCGTTATTACTATTTCTTTTGTCTCATATCCCTGTCTACTGTCTCTATTTTACATTTCTTTTACTTTTTTCTCTTGCTTTGTGTGCTACAAGAAGGGAGTGTGGCGACTCGAAGTGCTGCACATCGGTGCAAAGTTCTATGTTGAAAATAGATAGGTAGACAGACAGGCACTGGTTTTAAATCATTTTATAATTATTATTCTCTTGAGTTCTGTGTGG